TCATTGACCGGAAGGATATCCTTCCCATTGATGAGGTGTATACAGCCTAGACCATACAATCTCAATGGCCAGAACTTCTGGTCACGGAGATTGGTCTCGATGGCCGTAAGGAACCCCTTCTGGTGATCAAGACCATACAATCTTGATGGCCGGAAGGGATTCCTTCCGGTCATTGAGATTGTACAGTCTCGATGACTGGAGGGAATCCCCCGGCCAGTGGGAGGGAGGCGACTCCCAAACCTCCCACTTGCCAAGGAGGGTTTTGGGCACCAACTCCCACCCAAAAAAATAAATAAATTTTAATAAAAAACAATTGGGAATTCAACTCCCAATCCCCCAGGGGGGATTGGAAAGATGACTCCTGTCCAACAACCCCTTGACCAAAATGGGAGTCATTGGCAAATTTTGGGGAGTCATTTTTCCAACCCCCTTTTTTGAATTTTTTTTCTGAGGTCCGACCTCTAAACAAGTCAGACCTTCCAAAAGAATGGGGAAAAAAAAACTTAGGGGGGTTTAACATCCATGGGACCATCCACAGCCAGTCCCCTCAACGTCCCAAATATTTGGGAGTTGGAACTCCAATGTTTGGGAGTCGGTTGACTAATTAAGACCCTTAAGGTTTATGGGAAACCAAAAGAGTTGAGTGGGAGATTTCCCTATGGAGTCCAAATCCCATCAAGTTTGTGCATCTCCAAACAAGCCTTGTTCCACATCAACCACAATTTTGGTTACCAACTTTTTAAATACATACATTTTAATTGGGAGAATGTGGCTTACCACCCGGGGAGCCAGGGTGTTTTGGGAGTTGGGGCGGGATATGGTGGGGCTTAGAGCATCTCCACCGCAGGGGACTACGTCAGTCCCCAAATTTCCCCAAATTTTGACCTCGCGCGACTGCGGCGCATATTTTAGCTCCTTGCCTAAATTTTCTTTTGTACCGCAGAGTCTTAAAGTAGCACCTTGGGGCTGTGAAAGGGTATCTCCCGATCCCCTCTACATCACGATCCATTTGGAATCACAAACCAGCACACTCCAGAAACCTTGTCTATCTACAACATACAAACAATCAACATGGACGAAGATGCTTTAATAATTCAAATGATCTTACGGCAAAGGCAAGCGGCAGCAAGGTTCAGAACAACGATCAATGCAATGCTTGAAATTACACCAATGCTCCTTGATGACGATGAGAGAAATTGATTGGCCATTGCATGGCGGTTCACATCCCAGGAAAACAACCCAACCCGGCCTCGCAACTTTGAAGGCAGCTACAACAAGCTTATGCAGCATTACTTCTCTGCTCAGCCACTCTACAAATGAAGAAATCTTCCGACGCCGTTTCCGGATGGGAAAACCCCTCTTCATGAAGATTGCCGAGGCTGTTCAAGATCTTGATGAATACTTTACTCTTTGAGGCGATGCATTGGGAAAATCAGGAATCAGGCCACTGGTGAAAATAACAGCTGCTCTTCGAATGCTTGCCTACGGAGGTGCGGCCGACTGCAATGATGAATACCTTCAGCTCTCCGAGTCAACTTCGTTACAGTGTATGGATAAATTTTGCAATGCAATTGTTGCAATTTACTCAGACGAATATCTTCGACACCCAACGACCGCCAACTTGGAACGGCTGCTCACTGATGGTGCAAAACGAGGTTTCCCAGGTATGCTCGGATCCCTTGATTGTATGCACTGGGAGTGGAAGAACTGCCCAAGCGGCTGGGATGGGCAGTTCCAAGGAAAAGAAAAACGACCAACAGTCATTCTTGAAGCAGTCGCATCGTCCGACATGTGGATCTGGCATGCCAGGCTCACACAACGACATAAATGTCCTTGATACCTCACCTCTGTTTTCCAATATATTGAATGGACGGGCTCCGCGATGCGAATACGAAATAAATGGCCACCACTACAAACAAGGATACTACCTAGCCGAAAGGACGTCGAGCGTGCCTTTGGGGTCCTTCAGGCCAGATTTGCGGTGGTTTCTTGTCCGGCTTGTGGGTGGAAGCATCACAACTTGAAAACAATCATGAAAGCGTGTATAATCCTGCACAACATGATTGTTGAAGATGAACGAGGTACATATCTAGACTATAGCTACAACCACTCACCTACCGCCATCATTACACCGGTCGAGGTCTTGCGAGATGGGACCTCGATTTCATTTGCTGAATTCATTGACAATCACGAATCTATGAGAAATTTGGGTTCTCACTTTCAATTACGCAACGATCTCATAAAGCATCAGTGGGATATAAAAGGCCGCCAGGAGGATGATGATGTCTCTGAATTCTAATTCATGTTGTGTTTCACTCTCATTGGCTCAAGAACTACTCCTTTTTCCAGGCTTTTCTTGTACTTTTCTCACTTTTATTCACTCCAAGGATTTTTTTTATTAGCTGTTGATCAATCCCTTTGATTGCAATTAAAGAGAAAAGAGAGACATTGAGCAAGATCACACAATGCAACAGATCAACTTGAAGAGCAAAGAAAAAAATAGTGAGAGAGTTTGATTGAAAAAGGTTCAGTGAGAGAGAGCGAAGGGAAAGAAGTAAACATGGAGAGAGATCGGAGCTGTTTGGCTTAAATGAATCGGGACCGATCAATCAATCGATTTGTTTGAGGAACAATCAATCAATTCAATAGTTCCAGCAACAATTGATCAAACGAGTTGTTGGACGAGTTTGATGTATTGGCTAGTTGGACGATGAGTCAGCTTGTTCTTGGAGGCGTTTGAGGATGGCTGCTCTCTTGAGCCGAAAGAATTCCTTTTGCTCATCATCAAGACCACTGAGGTCCTGGTTCATAATTGAAAGCTGGGACGAGGTGCTCTGATTATCGGCAATAATTTTGAGAGACTCTGAGTTGTTGCTGATGATGTCGTTAAACCGCTTGGATTCAGAGGCAATCTTGCTGTGAGCGCTGGCAACCCCCTTCCAAGCGGTATCTTTAGCAGCTATTTGGTTGAGCGTCTTGGCCCTTTTCTTGCCGATTGGTCGGTCCAATGTCGATGGTTCAGTGCTGGTGCCTTCAAATTCTGAGACAGGATCAACAAGATCAGATGGTGCTGGAGTCAACACAGTTGCAGGTGGGGCTTCACTACTAGGGCTCCGAGCTTGTTTCTTCTTAGCAGCATCGGTCTTCTTCTCGTGGTTGCGATCTCGACAGTAGTTGCTCCATTTGGGACTCTTGACGAGTAGATTGTAACAGCGCAAGTGTTTGAAGTGGGTTTGCTGGTCGCTGGAGTAGAGCCGTAGAGCACGGTTTAATTGATCCTCGACTGATGCGCCACTTTGGGCAAATTCCTTGACCTGGTGAACCATACCGCGAAACTTGTTGATTGAAGGTTGTAAGTGGTTTGACCATTGCTTTTTCAAGCTGGTGAGGGGACGGATCGGATGTGGTACAGCTTCGTGATAGACCATCCGAATTCGTTGCCAGAAAGTGTTACCGTCTTGATTGGTTCCAACGGCGGGGTCTTTGGATACCTGAACCCAGGCTCAACATAGCTTGTAGTCCTCGGGTTCAGTGTAATTTGGAGCTTTTTTCTTTTCATCTTGAGTTTGACTTTCTTGACGGGAGTCAGGCGGATCAGCATCTGAGTAGGTTCAAAAAGCGGAAGAAAGAGGTGAGTCAATCAGTCAAAAGTAAACAACAAACCAAGTAAACAAAAAACCCACCGATGTTGTTGTTCTGGTCAACAATACCATCATCATTGTTTGGCGGATTGTTTGTGCGATTTTGCTTTTGCACCATTCTGTCGCTGTGGATCTCTTGGCTGGCGGATATATGGGATGAGGTGCAGGCAGGGTTGGGGATATTGGGGGTTGTTTCTCCAAGATTGATGAGTGAAATATCACAGGAATTGGCTGTGATATGTAAGTGGGGAGGACCTATCTGGGTAGCTATAGTGTCTTAAATGTGGGACTTGGGTAGGTCCCGGGAGGGATTTTCTTAGTTTGGGGCCCTCTTTAGGGCCTGCAGTGGTGAAGCTAAATCGCGCGCGGGGGCCTAAATTTGGTTTAGTCCCGCGATTTAGGTCCCGCGGTGGAGATGCTCTTACCACCCACGGTGGAGATGCTCTTATATTGATGTATGTAAACCCACCAAACCCAACACAATTTCCCCAACTCACCAAGAAACACAGATGAGGATGCAGATGAAGATGATGATCGAGACGAGCATCATATAACCGCGAAAGCAAGGAAACCCCGATGATCCTGGGCCTCGGCATCGACATCCTCGACCGCTCGCGTCTGGCCCGTCTGCTGCTGGTAAAGAAAGCGCGGCCCAGCCAACACCAGCCTCAGCGGAGCATCCGGACGCGCTTGGCCGAGCGGATCTTGAGTGGCCGCGAACGGGACAGCGTCGAATGGCAGGCCGTCCTGGAAAAGGACGCAGCCTCCGGATCTGACGGGGCGACTCCATCGACAGAGTTGGTCAGTTATCTAGCGAATCGGTGCGTGGACGGATCCCATCACTTGTTCCAACGAGTCTTTGGCATCATGAGTGATTGACAGATCATATGTGTGATTTAAATGACTTGTATGTTGGGAATGGATGGATGAACGATGGACGAAAACGCAGATGGACGGCGAAAGAAGCGGCCTACAAGGCGCTCTATCCGGGTTACCAGCCGAGCTGGAAGGAGCTCAGTTTGCTGAAGGGCGTGGCCAGCCAGCCCAAGAAGCCGGTCCTCCTCTTCCACCCTTCGTCTTCTCCCTCATCCGGCTCGCGTTCCGATCCCTACCAACTCCACCCCCACATCACCCTTCTCGTTAGCATCGCCCACGACGGGCCATTCACCGTCGCTTCCGTCATCGCTAATTCTTCTTCTTCTTCTTCGGCGTCAACTGAGCACGATAATACCCGCATCTCCTCCTCCTAACCCTTTCTCCTCCTCTGCTCCAACATATCTCAAAAAAAAACCTGTCTTTTTTCACGATGATGATTATCATTATTGTTACATTTTGCAGATAGAATATAGATACAATTTCTAATTTCGATAAGCTTTAATCATAAATTTGGTCAATGAAATCAACAAACCTTGAGAATCACAGCATCTCCACAACCCAAGTTCTGGAAACAGAGAGAAAGGAAGGAAGCAATAAATTATCTTGACAAGGAAATCTGTATAGATGAGTCATGATGATATATGTATATTATGTATGGAGTCAAATTACCACGGTTGGATGTAAGTATTCTGCAGAAACAAATGAGATCTGATTTATATATTTTTTTCTTACTACAAAAACATCACATATTTTTGAGAAAAAATGACAAGCGAGAAAGTCTCAATCGATTTCCTTAAGATGAGACCTGCGAAGACGAGGCCCAGGGGGAGATTTACGCTGGCCGTTAGCGAGAGAAGCCTGGAACGGAGCGTTAGAGAAACTAGTGACATGTTCGGCAGGGAGCGGCGCTTTGGGCGAAGGTTCCGGCATCTCGTCCGAGCTGGCTTGCTGGAACACATTCATGATCGGCTCCAGAAGCTTGAATCGGTTGTGGACCGCTTGGACGAGGCCGGCTTTGTGTTCACTCGCGTTCCGCATCCACCCGTCCTCTGTCATTGGCTCTTCTCCATCTTCATCATATTCATCCACCTGAAGAGCATATCAAGAAAAAAAAAATCAACATCAGTCCCCCGTCTCCTCTTTCTCGGCTCGTAGATGTTGTAATTGAAATGAAGCAAGAGGCAACAGACAAGCTCAGGGAAATCATGACACCCGAAATCCCACGAGCGTTTCCATCTAGCGCGTTCACAAGCGGAGCGCGTCCACCGAGACGCATAGGTGACCGGCTTGAAGATCGACCAGGACCAGACGGCCATGATGAGGATGAGAGCGAAGGTCTTGAGCCGGGCCTTAGGGCTCACCCGACTCGTCGCAAAGTCGAACACCGTACAGACCTGGAAGATCGAGTAATACAACGATGGGAAGTAGTGGTGCAGAAAGACTTGACGGGTCATCAGGTAGAATGGTAAGTAATGCGTCGCCCAGCCGACAACTAAGTACGCCGAGATACCATCGTATTTCATCACATTTACTGTTTTAATATGTCACAAAAAAAAGAATTCAGCTGGAGGTGTGTTGGTGGGGAGAAACAGGTCAAGATCACTTACAATTTCTTGCTTCCCCATGATAACCTCTCTTGATCCTCAAGATCAGCAACGATTTAGTGATCAAATAGAAGAGGATAGCGGCCGTGGAGAGCCACCAAATAAAAGGATTTCCCAGGAGATAGATCTGTCTATGATCTTTAGCCCAACTAACAAAAGAGGACGAACAAATCAACACCTCAATCGATCAAAAAAATATATATTTCTTGATATGGATGAAAACGAGAAAAATAAGGAAACTCAACAAGTTCATCCCTCGTTTCAGGATCGGCCACGAGATAGGACTAGAACTGTACGCATGATGCTGGACTAGGGCCTTATTAGTCTGCCACATAACCGTCTGAAGTTCCCAGAACTTGCTCCAGAAACTCGGCCGATGATAGTTAACTTTGCGAGCTTTAGGATCCTGTTCCACTATCATCACACAAAGAAAAAGACCAGTAAGTGATCCGGGAAGTCGTACTCATTATTAACCATTGACCAAAAAAAATAAAAAAATGGACATACATAAAGGATGATAATTGGACTCGATGTACCACAAAGAGCTAGCAAGAGTAGGGTTGCGATTACAGGTGACTTCCTGCTGGCCGAACCCCCAATCGGGCAAGCGGACCTTGTGAGAGAAGAGGTAACAGTTCTGGAGCGAATGGCGGAGCCGGAACTTGGTCCGAAGCGCCCGGACTTGCTTAGCCGACATCGGATCAGTCTTCAGGTCGGACTCTTTGCTGATGATCTCGATGATCCATTCGTCATTTGCATCCCCTTTGGATATATATATGACAAAAACCCCAATTTTTCAATCGAATTATCCTCTTGATAAGTTTCAGATAATTGAAGAGAGAATGTTTTTTTTTACCTGGATAGTTAGGGAATCCGTAGCCAGAGACTTCGTTCTGATAGTCTACCTCTGAGACAGGAGGTCTGATATCATGAGTATGCAAGCGCTTATCGGTCAAAGGATGATTGAGACGAATGAAGGTAGATCCATTGACGGGGACCCGATTCTTATAGTAGAAGTCGGGAGGTTTACGATGGACAAGATCGATATCATCAGCGAGTCTTCCGAGGACAGTCCAAACATTATTATCGTCATGGTGTGGATAGAGTGTGATCTGTTGTTGGTGCGAGCCGGTGGGATAGAACTGGGCATGGGAGTGGAGATATCCGCCGAGGGTGTTGGTATGTTTGATGGTCACATTCGAGCCGAGCAGGACCTCGGCGAAGGTGTCGGGCATATGATGGCCGCGTAGGGTCTGCTGGAACTCGGAGCTCATGAACGCGTCCCCGTCGCCCGAGCCGGAGAGGATGGCGAGATGGATCCGGAAGATGAGCATGTAGACGAGCAGGGGCAGGAGGGCGAGACAGAGCAGACGGGCGAAGAAGGAACGGATGAGGAGCGGGAGGGGCACACGGAGGTTCCCGAGGAGCTCCCAGAGTTGCTTGATGGTCACCAGTCCGATCGCGCCGATCGTGAACAAGCCGATCCATTTTGAGGAGAGCACCAAGCCCAAACTTAGGCCAGTTAAGGATAGCCAGGACCACCAGGCGCGAGTGAAGGCTCGCTTGTAATCCTCGTTGCAGAAGCCGGTGTGGAAGAAGATCGAAAGAGCGGTGAAGAAGAGTAGGGGCGAGTCGAGTAGGATGAATCTTGACTGGACGATCAAGGCGTTATCGAAGGTGATAAGAAGTGCGCCGAGAGTTGCTGATAAAGGCCTTTGGTGGAACATCCTCAGAGTAAGATAGGCAATGGGTACGATGGCTACGCCTAAGAGTGCGGGTACTAGACGCATTTGAATGTACGGTACTCGATCTGAATAATCACTGGGAGGATACTGACGATCAACTTTATAGAGTTTAATTTACTTTTTACGTTTGAGGGGAGAGGGGAGGCTTGCTTACCTTCCGATCTCTTTAAATTCGAATGTTCCATCGTATCCAGATAACCAGCCCACTAGAGCGAACAGTAGCTTGACGAGTGGCGGATGGACGTCCATGAAGAATTCCGAACGGATGTATTTGGAGGCGAAACCACCGAAATGGACTTCATCGAAACTGTAAAAAACACAAGAGTTACTATTTATTGATGGATGGATGATTCTAGTGGAATGAACTGACACGATGCTCGCTGGTCTTGCGATCTTCCAGGTTCTGATCAGACCAGCCAGGATGGTGAGGCTGATGATCAGGAGAGGTTCTCGTTGCTGTTTGGTTCCTATGAGTTCTAGTCCCCCGCCCAGTCGACTGAGTCTTGATTTGTTTCTGCTGGTGAGTTGTTTCTGTTGTTCTTGGTTTGCTGTTGACCATTGTTGGGGTGGGTGGGTGTTGCCATTGGTTTGTGTTAGTAGGAGTTTGCGTGATCGAAGTGGCTCGGCTGGAGTGCTGTTCATCCTGGCTTAGTAACAAACATAAGCCATCCCTCTCCTCTGAAAAATAAATTGTGAAGTAAGCCACCCTGGAGGGGGGGGGGGATTACGTAATCCATGGCTGACTAATCCCATCATCATCATCATCATCACCAAACCGACAAAAGACCAAAAACCAAAAACCAACCAACACAACAACCAACAGCATCATCATCATGACTTCGATCGGAACTGGATACGACCTATCAGCATCAACCTACAGGCAAGTCTCTCTAATCTCATCAAACTCTCAAAAACAAAAAAAACTAATACATCACTCATCATACAGTCCAGATGGACGGATATTCCAAGTCAGTCATCAGAAACCATCACAATCACACAAACACACATAGATTAATCCCCATTGATCACATACAACAGGTCGAATATGCAAACAAGGCCGTAGAAAACTCCGGGTACCAACCATCCATTCATTTCTACAGATACACAAGAGAGAGACTGATCCGATCATCGATCTCTATCAAGCACGGTGATCGGCTTAAAATGCAAGGACGGAGTGGTGCTTGCGGTCGAGAAACTAGTGCAATCCAAGTTACTCGTACCTGGAAGCAACCGAAGACTAAGGACCGTAGACTTACACATCGGGCTCGTAAGTCATCCCCCCTCCCAAAAAAAAACCCCCGCAAAAGACAAAGAAAAGTCTGCACTAACTTGATATGATAATATGATGTATAGGCTACTGCCGGTTTGTTGGCCGATGGAAGACAGTTAGGCCATCGAGCAACAGCCGAGGCGGCCTCATACAAACAAAACTACAACGACCCGATCCCGATCAATGTCAGTAATCAAACCACATCATCAACAAACACAAGACTTGAGACAATCAACACTCACCCTCGCTTTATCTTTAGAAACTCGCCGATCGAATGGGCCAGTTCTGTCAAGCCTATACCCTCTACGGAAGCGTCCGACCCTTCGGGATATCCGCCCTGATCGCCGGGCTTGATAAGGCCGGCTCGCCCGACCTGTTCTGTCTCGAACCCAGCGGCGTCTTCTGGGTATCCACTCCTCCCTCCTCAAACAAAAGCACTCCCCCCCCCCCGCCTCCAGGAAATAGATTTATAAACTCAGATTGATTGTTTGGGTTTTCTGGTCTTGTATGATAGGGCTATCGAGGATGTGCGATCGGAAAAGGACGAACTCTGGCTCGGACGGAGATCGAGAAGCTGAAATTGGAAGAACTGTCGGCCCGAGAAGCCGTCGAACATGCCGCCAGAATGTCCGTCGTCCCATCCCCCCTCTATCTCTTCCTAAATGAACACACACAAACAAAAACACAATGTCGAACTAACTGAGCCATTTTCTTGTGGTTGATGATCCATAGAATTCACATGGTCCACGACGAAGTGAAGGATAAGGACTTCGAGCTGGAGATGTCGTGGATCTCGGTCTCCGAGACTAAGGGCAAACATGTCCCCGTGCCGCACCCCATCATCGAAGCCGCCGAGATCAAAGCTAAAGAAGCTCTCTCTTCCGAAATGGAAGACTAACCCACTCTTTCAATATCAAAAACGTCTCGTGTAATATGTTCTTATTTGTTTTTTGTTGGTCAAAAAAAGAGTCTCTAGAACGGTTCCTTCGGGCTGCAAATGAACAACTGTTTCATGGGATATAGCGGCGCCCATGTGTTTACGACCCAATGGGCTTGGTGAATCGTTCATCAGCAGGGTTCCTGAAATATCACTTGATTCTTTTGTTGGAGCAAGGAAGTGGATGACCATGCAGCCACATAGCTCAGAAATAATGCGCTAGCAAAGAAGCAGGCAAAGTTCTAACGTTATCTTTGCATTATTCAATTGAGTTACGAATCAATAATAAATGCATGTTCAAGCTGGGTGGGGGTGTATGTAAATATGTGGTAGTCGTCTCTCCTCAATCGGTCATGCCAGTGAATGTGGAACAATAACTCATTACCCAATGATGGTGAAAGTCAATGGAAGGCAAACCCGAGGTGGGTAAATGTGTTTGAACAATATCTTGACAATCGGGCTGATTTGCCGTGAATGCACTGAAGCGATTTGTTGAGAAGCTAAGTATGATAATTATACAGAGTGATCTGTGTTCTATTGATGCCTATAGATGCACGCACACGAAAAAAAAACAACTGGAAATACAAGACAGTTCTGAAGAAGTCACAACAATAACAAGTTTGAAGGGCAGATAGGCTGAAACCGAGGGAAGGGGGGGAGCAAGGTAGCTCATGCGCCGAAGCCGTAAAGTGTTCGACCCTGGCGTTTGAGAGCATAGACCACATCGAGAGAGGTGACTGTTTTCCGCTTGGCATGTTCGGTGTAGGTGACTGAGTCTCGGATGACATTCTCTAGGAAGATCTAGAAGAGGAAGGGGTATGATCATATCAGTTAAGCTGCAGAGAAGTGTGAGGGGAGAACAAAAAAAAGGGACTAACTTTGAGCACCCCGCGGGTCTCTTCGTAGATCAGGCCGGAGATTCGCTTGACTCCTCCTCGACGGGCAAGTCTTCGGATGGCAGGCTTAGTGATGCCTTGGATGTTATCCCGCAAGATCTTACGGTGACCTGTGTGGAGGAATGGAAGGGATGAGATGGGTGTGTGCACAGTGGAAAAGGGGAAGGGCAGAAGAGGAGGAAGACCGACGTACGTTTGGCACCGCCCTTTCCGAGTCCCTTTCCGCCGCTCTTTCCGCGTCCAGACATCTTGGTTTTGTAGGGGGGGTTTGGGTGGGTGGTTGAGTTGGAAGTGTTGGTGAGGGTGTTGGGGTGTTGGGTTGGCTTGTTCCGGGGCGGGTGATGGTGGAGGATGGGGAGGAAGGTAATGGGAGAAGAGGGAGGCTATATATAGCCAAGAAACACTCTCACAAAGGGGTGTTTGTTTACCTGAGTCTATTATTTCCCCTTCGAGTGCAATGGTCAATCCACGAACCGATTGTTGGATTGAGCGACGCGTTGGACGCGTGTATGAGTCGCGTCGCAAGCTGTGCCGGAGACGAATGTGTCCGGACCCCGGAGGGCGCGGGCCAATGAGAGGCCCGCACTGGCCCAATGCCAGCTTCCTATTGGTCAGAGCTGCCGGACCCACTCCACTTTCGAAGTTGGTCGCCGTCTGCACTCCCGGGATCGCGGCCGGAGGACGGACCGCGTGGCAGGTGCACTCAGGACAAACACAGGCGTCGGCTGGTCAGCTGGATTATAAAAGGAGTCTTTCCATGCCACTCTGTTGATCTTCATCCCATCACTCCACCAGCCAGCCACCCACACCAGCTACACCACTCAAGCTCCACCTCATCCCCCACCAACACTCCACCCAAACACCCACCCACCCAACAACAATGGCCCGCACCAAACAAACCGCCCGAAAATCCACCGGTGGAAAAGCGCCCCGGAAACAACTCGCGGCCAAGTCGGCCCGCAAGTCGGCCCCGACAACCGGCGGTGTCAAGAAGCCCCACCGATACCGGTATGCGACCTTCTCTCTCTTTGTAGGCTGTTCATGCGCCAGATTCTGATCTCCGTTGTCTGCCCTTGACAGTCCCGGAACAGTCGCCCTTCGTGAGATCCGGCGGTACCAGAAATCGACCGAACTGCTCATCCGAAAGCTGCCGTAAGTCTCTTTCTTCCTCCCCTCAAAAAATGATGATGATCGGGACTCTCCCCTTGGTGAAACTGACTTGTCGGGACACTTCCTTCGGTCTGCAGCTTCCAACGTCTCGTCCGTGAGATCGCACAGGACTTCAAGACCGACCTGCGGTTCCAGTCTTCAGCCGTCATGGCTCTCCAGGAATCGGCAGAGGCTTATCTGGTCGGGTACGCCCTCAATCCCTCCCATCTATATTCCAATTCCAATGGTGACAGATTACTCATCGTCTTTTCTTGCGTTTTTTCTAGGCTCTTTGAGGACACCAACTTGGCTGCCATCCACGCCAAGCGGGTGACCATCCAACCCAAAGATATCCAACTCGCCCGACGACTGAGAGGCGAACGCTCATGAACTCCTCTTTCTCTCCTCGTTCTTCCTAATCTTCAATGCTGGCTCTTAAAAATCTTCAGTAGACTTGTTTACCCCCAATACCTTCATGTACTTTGGCCTGATTCCACTCTCGATTACTTATGTTTTTTTTCCTTCTATCTCAGTCCAATTTTTTTTTTTTTTTTTTGAGATGTAATAACTATAAGGCGTGCATAGTCAAACTTCTTAAGATAGTAGAAACGTAACTAATCACAGAACCAAGTCCCTGATCAATAAATCTGTTGAGAACAAGGTCGCAGAGCCCTAGGCCTTACACTACACATGCTGCCGCCCAATCAGCCGGATTACTCAGTCGGAGCCACTGAAGCTCCTACCACTTTGTCCTCAAGATCTGCGCGCTTTGCCCAACCGCAACTTAGCCCAATGGTCTCCAGCCACAAGGGAAGGCTTGAGAATTGTTAGGCAAGTTGGCACGATTGCATCTGTTAATGTTCTGCTCGTAGAGTCCACGACCCAGGACCTGGCATCATCGAGCCCAAAAAATGTCGCGCTCCCCATCGCCTGATTTCGGCCAAGGCCGGGCAAGATTATATCTATGATGCCGGGATGGGACCGACCCAGGGAGCGACTCAGCCGGGATTGGATCGACCCAAAAATGATACATCGTCGGTGTGGATCACATTCACCAGTCAACGATGTACCCACTGCGTTGTAGGGGAGTCGAACCCCTGACGAGGCCATGGCAAGGCCCCAGTTTACCGCTAGCCTAACAACGCTACATCCATGCAGCCAATACTCGGGATTGTTTCTGACAGGACATGTGATCAGGATTGGTGCTTGTAATTTTGTATGGTTGTAGACTATAGTGGTTGAGCGCGAGAAGTGTGGCTGTCTGAGCAGAGCTTCTCTGAGTGGCTTGAATGCAAGCCTTGGCCCTGGACAGCGCCGATCGGGAATGGATGGGCGGTTTTGGCACGCGTGATACTGATAGCAGGTTCGGGTGCCCGGACAGCCGGCCATCCGAGTCTCCTATGTAATGTTTTTGGACACGCGGGTCCCTGATATTCTCTATTCAAGAGTGAGTTGGTTCGGGTCCTCCGGCTCGTGGTCTGCCATGATGCTATGTATTTCCGTTGGGCTGTAAGTCTTCTCTGGGGTGATCTTATTATTTATTTCTGAGGAAAATTAGGCCGGATGGACCGGCCGGGACGGGAATACTTTCCAAGTGTAAATATGTCTGGGTCATGTGCACATATACATGACCGGCATGAGGAAAACAGATTGTAGACCCAAGGGATTTTAGTGTTTCCTACATGCACCTGGACCGATGCCACACTTCGAACGCAGCGTGGCCCGCGGACCCGGCTTTGGTATCATAAACACAGAAGCTGGAGAGAGGTTTTGGGCACCTGGCGGGCATCCTGTTCCAAACAACTCACAAAAAATGCTCAACGGAATACGGGATGTGAAATTAGAATAGACGGCTAGAGTTTTCGAATGAAGAAATAATACAAGGGAAGAATTTGCAAGCCAGGAAAGACACAGAAGATAGAGAATACAAGGGGAAGGAGAGATTGAGGGATTAAGTAGGATCATGATCGTTCTCCTCTCAGTCTCCGAGCGAGTTGGATGTCTTTAGGTTGGATAGTGACTCGTTTGGCATGAATAGCAGCCAAGTTAGTGTCTTCGAATAAGCTACGTACGAGGAGAAGGACGAGGGCTGGATAAGTACGGGTTCTTTTGGCAGGTTTTCTAGAAGAATGAGATAAAGTGGACAGCTTACCCGACCAGATAAGCCTCGGCGGATTCTTGGAGTGCCATGACGGCTGAGGACTGGAAACGGAGGTCGGTTTTGAAGTCTTGAGCGATCTCCCGGACGAGCCGCTGGAAGCTGTGATAGATGGATAAGATGAACATGCGTGACAGTTAGGACCCGGGCGCAACGGACAGAATGTTCGGAGTGGGGGGAACTAGGGGCACTAACGGTAATTTCCGGATGAGAAGTTCGGTGGATTTTTGGTACCGACGGATTTCTCGAAGGGCGACTGTTCCGGGACTAGAAGGACAGTAGGAAGTAGGGAAAAAAACGAAAATGTCAGGAGATGTAGGCAGGGCGGGGAGAGGATCAAGAGTTGACTGACCGGTATCGGTGAGGCTTCTTGACACCACCGGTGGTGGGTGCCGACTTGCGGGCCGACTTAGCTGCGAGCTGTTTCCGTGGCGCTTTGCCACCGGTGGACTTTCGGGCGGTTTGCTTAGTGCGGGCCATTGATAAGTGGTTGGATTGGTGGTGGGTGGTTGGTGATTGGATTAAGCTGATGCAGTGTCGAGGCGAGGTTGGTGGGATGAGTGAACCCCCAATGCTGCTGTCGGATGCTCATTTTATAGCCAAATCTCATGGGCGCATGGTGTGTGTCTCTCCGGAGGAAAAGCCGAAGCTGGAGAACCGGAGACAACGCGCGGAAGCCAGGGGAGATCCACCTTCGGAGGCTTATCAGGGCTTATCAGTAGGGCGCGGGACGGCGACCAAGTCTGACCAATAGGAAGCCAGCATTGGAGAGACTGACTTGCGGGCCGCCAGTGCTTCTCCGAGCTCGTGCCGACGGGTTTCGACGCCAGCTAGCGTGCAGACGGGCACTGACCCGGCTGTATTCGCAATCGGATCAAGCTTGCTCGGAGGCCGAGGGGGGGAGGACTTCAGGGGTTGGCGGCCAGCAGTCCAGGTCTATATAACACGGCACTCCTAGCACCTTTCCCCTCCTTCCCTCATCCACTTCATCCTACCATCCACACCCAACAACCCATCCCAAGAACTCCCTCCCACCTTCCAACCTCACCACCAAAACTCAAACAAACCACATGTCTGGACGCGGAAAGAGCGGCGGAAAAGGTCTCGGCAAGGGCGGTGCCAAACGTGAGTTGACCGCCGTCCTCCTCTGTCCTCTTGTTCCATCTAGACTCATCCCTTCGCTTTTCTTATTACTCACAGGTCACCGTAAGATCTTGCGGGATAACATCCAAGGCATCACCAAGCCTGCCATCCGAAGACTTGCCCGTCGAGGAGGAGTCAAGCGAATCTCCGGGCTGATCTACGAAGAGACCCGAGGAGTCCTTAAAGTAAGCTCGTCTCCTTTCCCTCCAAACGGTCTGCTACAGCCCCACTGACACCTTAACTTGTTCCTCTTTGCTCATCTCCTAGATCTTTCTTGAGAATGTTATTCGAGACTCCGTCACTTACACCGAACACGCCAAGCGGAAAACAGTCACCTCTCTCGACGTGGTCTATGCTCTCAAACGACAGGGACGAACACTCTATGGCTTCGGAGCATAAACATAAACACACACACACACACACACTTCTCTTTCTGTCTCTCTGTCCTACATAATCTTCTCAAAATTCTTGTCATTCTTCCTCAGATTCGTCTTATATATCTCTTGTATTCTTCGTTGTCCTCTTGCGTTCATAGAAACATACAAGTAAACTCTGTACCATCAATAACCCTTACCCATGTTTTCCTGAGAGCCTGTCCCTCAGTATTGTGACTCACTTGGCGCCCCAGTCTGCGTCAGTTGTTACGTTTCAAATGTGCACCTTACTTCGAGGTGCAAGGTGAAAGGTGCATCCGAAACTATCTGCAAATTCAACCTCGGAGTCAGACCGCGGAAGATAGTCCTCGAGTCATCTCCTGAAGTCAGCCGAGAAAAAACGACCACCAATCCATCCACAACCAATCGGACCACCCTGGTCGTACATATACATTCATCATACAACGACCATGCGGTGTTCACTAATCACTCCTCAAGAGATCATCGACAACGGGGAGAACATTCAGCCTGGAGTCCCAATAGTTCTCCTCTTACGAGCAGGGGTCTTGGTACCAGAAGCGGCGGCGAAGTTCGGAAGCTACCACGAGGTCTTCGCATCCTTCCTCCAGAACGGCCTGAACTACGAGAAACTGGTCAAGGATGGCCAAGATGGCCTCGTGCTCAAGCCCGACGAACATCTCATCCTCAACAATCCTTCCAATCCTGAGCCCAAAGTCATGCCGCCTAGACTCCAACTCGTCAGCTTCAACGTCATCCAGAAGGATGACTTGGGACCCGTCGAATACCCTTCTCATCAACTCTTAATCGACTCGTTGGGGCTCCTCATTTCAGGAAGTGGTCAGTCTTTCTCCTTTGAACACTTTCGATCGATCCTTTTCTTCTTCTATTTATCAGAACCCTCGTCTACATGTACTTACTTTCACCTGAACCCTCAACATTTTTTCAAAAAAAAAAAAAAAAAAAAAAAAAAAGCATCGAACGCCTACGATGATATTAAATGGATCGACGACCTCGTCGATTTCTCGAGACGATTGATCGACCGCTACGAGCATCTGAAGCTCTTCGGGATCTGCTTCGGCCACCAAATCTTTGCCCGGGCTCTGGGCTCCCAAGTGATCCGAAACGAGCTGGGTTGGGAGTTCGGGATCTTCGAGGTCGAGCTCAGCTTGCTTGGGCAGGCCCTCTTCGACGGCCGCGATCGGCAACCCAATCTCACCCTTCCCTCCCCATCACTTCTCGTCAGTTTTCATCCTGCGCCCTCTCTTTCGTAGATGAGACTCCAGAGCTGATCCGCCATGCATTTTTTATGGGCGTGCATGTGGTGTGTGATCAGAGGCTCCACCAGGTCCATCGAGACATCGTGGCCAGTCTCCCAGCCGACACTCACAACCTGGGCACGACGGCCAAGTGTGGGATCCACGGCTTTGTGAAGATGGAGCCCAGCTTTGATCTCGACCGGTCACTCTCATCGACCAGTGGCGAGTCAGAAGATCGATTGAACAGTCATGTCAGACTCTTGTGTCTCCAAGGACATCCCGAATTCACCTACGACATCCTCCGCGACTCGCTTAATGCACGAACTAAGAACGGCACGGATTGGTCGGTCGTCGATCAGGATTCTTATCGCTTCGCTATCGGCTCGCTCGCTAGATTTCCTCACCCGTTGGATCATCATGGCTTCTTTATCTCTTCTAAAGTCCTCAAGATCTTGCATATCCTTTGATCTCTCTTCTTTTCTGTTCATCATCCTCCCCTTTTTTTGACTGCCTTTCGTTCTTTTTTTCATTTTATGTCTGATTTCATCGATGACTTTCTTCACTCTCAACAACTCGTTCTTCCAATATTGCAGATTACATATTTATATTGCAGCAAGGCACAGATACATCCAGCTCTCATTTCACTTCTTTTTCTTACCTTTTCAATTTTATTTGGTTGTTTTGAATGATTGGTGTGTTCAAATATGACTTGGAAATGCATCTTACTGTTAGTTTGTGATCGAAATATGCTCATCATTAAGCATCCGAATATATTCTTTCACTTTGCTCCCCTTGTATGCAACTTTTTCTTCCTAGTCCTGCTTCATTTTTTCAGTATGGGTTCTTAAACCAAGCCAGAAGTTCTTGGGTATCAATCATTTCTTGATCAAAAAAAAAGAAAGTAATCTTTGAAGCACTTGCTGGTTTGTCCACCATTGAAGCTGAAGAAGTGAGTTTGGTGTGGCAAGGCGGTTTCCAGGGCATGTTCATATCACCGGTCGGCGTTGGTAGGGACGTCGGCAGACCCAACTAAACCCCCAATTGGCCTGGCAGGGAGGGGGCCCGGGCTCAGGCCCGCTTCCCCCCTTGTCAGAATAATATTTTTTGGAAATTGAACACAGCAAAACCATCAACCAACCAACACCAAAGTCATCCTCAATATATTACAGACAAACACAAAACCTGGAACAAAAAAAACCATGATCCTCGAACAGAAGCAATCCGACTATCTGAAACAGTGGATGGTCCAGAAACTTAAACCAATGTATGTATCTATCAACCAAACTCATCATAAACTTGCACTGCTTACTGACCATCTATCTCAACCTCAACCACACACACAGCTGCGATGCTGATCACGAGGTTCTGTCCGAGTACGTGATGGCTCTACTGCGGCACGATCAATCGGAGAATCAGCTAAGGTCATCGTGTCTCAAACAACTCGAGGATTTCCTTCAACAAGGTTCGACTAAACTCTCATTCCCAAAAGAAAAAGAAAAAGAAAAAGAAAACACCTTCCGAGTTGCTTGATTGATGATATGTTTGCTTCAATATTCAGATACCAAGCTGTTCGTGACAGACCTCTTCGATCATCTTCGAACTTTTGGTGCTTTTAACGGATCTTACCAGCCCCCTGAAATCAATCTATCTGCTTCAGTTTTACTTAGGAAACGCTCACTAGCCGTTGATGAACCCTATCTCTTGCCCAACAACAATCAGCTCGACAATCAACATCGCCCCTCCCAATCCTCTACTGCTCCGATCCCACAGTATACGCCCACTCAGAGTCATCCCAGCTTCCTTCACTTCCCTGAACCTCAATCTAACCTCATCAACCCCTTACCTAGCTTCAACCCATCATCTCACACTCAACAACCTCCCTATAACAATACCAACACCAACCAGCCGAGGAATTCGAAACGTCCCCGAAGATCTATATGTCGAGATTACCACTGTCAGTTTAGTTTCTTTATCATACTGTACTTGAACAGTTTCTGACCTTCAGAAACATCTCAGATCGCGGATATTGTGCCAGAGGGAGTAGCTGTCACTTCTCACATGACGATAGGGATCAAGATGCCTCCTCAAGCTCAACCCAGTCATCCGCTTATTTCTCGAAAACTCTACCAGCTGAAACCCAACCGACGACCGCACCCCCATCTGCCACCTGTATTCCTCTGGTTTTCAGCAGTACTTCAGTTGGCCAACAGATACCTGGACTAGGCGGACCTTTGACGATCCCATATGATCTACCCATTCCATCATTTTCTTCAAGTAATCCACCAGAGCAGCAATCTGGAAATGATCAATCAAACCATTACAACTCAAGACATCCTGATCGATCCACGCGCTTCAATGGGCCCACATCTAACACCAGAAAACCATTCACCACTCTGTTCATCGAAAACATTCCTCAATCATCACTCTCCGATCGCGCTGTCCGGGAATATTTCTCGATGTTCGGGCCGTTGACTAATGTCACCCTTGATGTACACAATTCTCAGGCGCAGGTCACATTCAAATCAACCGACGATGCAAAGCGTGCTTATTCCTCTCCTGAGCCCGTCTTTAATAACCGATTCGTCAGGATTCACATCAAGCGTGTAGTTGGAACTGGACCTCGAAGAAGTCACGGCCCTTTGCGAACAGACGCAAGTCCCGCAGCGGAAGGGTTTAGTAACAATGAATCTTCGTATGAAATGAACTCGAACGGATATCGCCATAAGGCCTATGACAGCCCGATTACCTACAAGTCCCCGCCTGTCTCCTCGCCACCACAGCCAAAAGCGGATGTCCAGGTGTTATCCCAACGCGAACAAGAGTTAAGACTCAAGATCGATGCTCAAAAACGATTGCTCGAACAGCTCAGTTTGAAGAAAGCTCAAAAATCTAACGGGCCCACTCAGGATATCGAAATGAGTGGTCCCTCTAAACCTACCGCACAGCTCGACACTGAAAATCAACCAAAGCAAGATCTCCCTAAAACCGACCCTAACTCCACTGATCTGAGCGAGTCAGCGACCACCGACACGAAGCTCTTATCCCCTGAACCTCGTCTAGTAAGTCCTAAAGAAGTCAGTCAAGTTTGCCTGTCCATTCCTTTTTCTTTCCTTTTTTTTCGCCCACTCTCGTATGATCGAGCAGTAGTCTCTTTCTGGTTTGAAGTTGTTCACTTAAATGAGTGGGTTTTCTCAAAACAATCAGGCTCTATCGCCATTACCAGAACCGAACTCATTCCAGAAACGGCCGGCGAATTTTGCTAGTCGAGCTGTCGGACGGACCAAGTTGACGAATAGTCGGACCTCGTGGACTCCTACCGGTAGCTCTCCTACTAAGGCCTTCAAGCTCGATAATCGTAGCTGTACTCTTGCCGTTCAATCCGTTCCCTCCTCAACTGCTCGCGAAAACCTTAAGGTCTACTTGGAAGTTGAGTTTCTTTTTTTCTAATCATGGCCGATCACTTATCTTTTTTCTTCTTCTTTCAATTCATCTTGGAGTTCCTTGACTTTCTTTGGTGGGGATAATGAATGACTAAATCTTGAGTTTTTTTTATATGTGCGTGTAGCAATTCGGGACGATCGTCGCCTTTGTTCCCTTGTCTGAGGAGGAAGACATGTTTGATGTTAGTGTGAAGTTTTCGACACGGACAGCGGCTGAGAAAGTGAGTGTTGTACCAATTGCACTATGCAGACGGGACGTACAGATAAAGAGCCGAGACTTGGCCTCATATTTGATGTTCTTGACGGAGTCTTGCAAGCGTGTATTTGCTAAATGTGTGGGCTCTTTTCTATCTTGTCTGTTTAGGCATTGGCAAATGGACTAGACATACCGGATGTGGGCAAGGTGACCATGAACTGGGTCCCGGTCGGCGCTGGATCGGGCCCCTCAACGACAGCAAAGACAACGACAACAACGACGAACAATGCGACTGGCCATCCCCAACACATATTCATCCCTGGCTTGAGGAACTCACATCATCACCACTATCCCGGTAGTTTCTCCTTGGTCAATCACCGTCCGGGCGCTCAATCTAAAGCCGAAGATCCTACCACCGGGGAGACCGGCGATAAGAAGAGCATGGCTCCTGATTCTTCATTAACAACACATACTCGTGGTGGGTCGGATAATCTGCTGGTCAATGGCGCTGATACGGACGATCTTATTGACGATTTTTGTGTGGATGATGAGGTTGATGGGTGTTGGAAAAGATAGACTCTCCTTCTCTCTTTCTCTCTCTCTCTCTCTTGAATTTTAGACTTCCTTTTTTTTTCAAACTAAACAAACAAATAAATACAAGAAAAAGAAAATGCAATTGCAAAAAATCATCCTTTTGTCTCGCCCCCCCCCCGTTGTTTTGTAAAATTGTTATTCAAGTTTCTTTTGAGAGTGGTGGTGGCGGATTTAGATCAACTTTCTTCATATCTTATCATCCAAGCAAGAAATTAACTAAACATCCTAGAGATATGCATAGATCAGACGGAAGAAGTAATTTCTTTTTTTCAACTGTGCGTCCCAAGGAGGGTGTTTCCGGACTAACCCCCGTGGGTTCGGGGTGTGGAGTCATTCAAATCACTCGGAAATGGAAAAAAACTACAAAAAGGGAGACAGCAACCACCTCAAGCCCAGCCTGATGACCACCATCCATCAACTCATCACCCGCCGACTGATCACAAGACTAGAATCAGTCATCACCCGCCAATCAAGAAGACCCAAAATATCCACCGAGCTGTTGACGTTGAGAACAGGAAATTCACAGACACGAGGCTATCGAAGACAGCACAACCCTGTCCATTACCCCCTTCGGTTCTTCCATTCTTCAGGTACCGATCCCCAACCAAACTCACAACCAACTAGCTCAGAATCGGGGAAACTATATCCCATCTGTCCGACCTGTTCGATCGAAATCAGAGCTAACTTTAATCAGACTAGCAAGATCGAAGAAAAATGTAAATGCGCGAATTGTCAATCGTTTATTCCGACGGATATGGTGATCAAAAAGATCCCAGAAAGGGATCGCTCAGTCAGGAAGAGTGATAACGAAGGTGAGGAAGAAGGTCATGAGGCCCATCGGATCGATTATTTCAAATTGTTCGAAGTCGAGAAGACGTTCAAAGATCTCGATCTGGTCCGGTTGAAGAAAGCGTACCACCAGTGGCAACAAGTCGTCCACCCGGACTTCAGCATCAACAACGACCAGCTCGCGGACCATCCTTCGGAGCTGAGTCTGCAGTGTATGAAGGACTGGAGCGTGTTGGTTAACCGGGCTAAGAGCATCTTGAGCGATGATCTCAAGAGGGCAGAATATCTGGTCAGTTCACCAAATTCGGTCCTCTTTCTTTACACATCACACACAAGCATGATTATCACAGGAGGAAACAGAGTAGAGAAGAGGACTTGAGATTGAGTGGATGGTCTTTGTACTTCTGGTAGATCGGATTGCATGGGACCGTCGAGCTTAGCCAGGAAGCCGACTCGCTCGATAACTCGCAGCTGTTGGTCGAGATCATGGAGGTCAGAGAGCAGCTCGAAGAAGCCCAGACTGCTGAAGCAATCGAATCTATCAAACTAACTAACAAAGGTACTTCTCTTCGATCAGCTGGTATTCTTTCTTTTTTTAAGAACATCCAGACCCATCTACATCCGAATATTTCGCAATTCTGATTACGGCTTTTTTTGTTGTTGTAGAGTCAATCGATCAAGTTTTGAGGGAATTGGATCATCAATTCAACCAGTTGATTCGTCTCAATCATAACGACAAACAATATCATGATCACTCTGAAAGTCTCAAAGAATCGATCATCAGATTACGCTATTTGAAGAAGATTCAAGAGATCATTTCTTCAACTAATCTCTAACCAAAAAAACTCTCACAAAAAATCTCTCACAAAAAAAAAGAAACTTAGCGGTCGCACGCGAGTCGTTCTTCGAGATTGCATGGCTTCCGGACTCGTCTATGTTGTTTTTTTTTTCGTTTTTTCAACAAATGATCCGGATTTAATTTAAGGTTAGTAAGTTATTTTTCCTTATAACCTTCGTCTATGAGATGCTCAATGTGTTGAAAGGAGCTTGAACAGTGTCGACGATTTCCTATCACCCACGTATCCGACTTCGCATCTATCGACAGATCGTGTCACGAAGAGAGAGATGCGATGGATCTGTACTCCATACCGAAGCCGAACGAACAACACCAAACATCATCTTATCGACTTCTCCCGATCCTTTGCCCATTATTCTTATTCAGATTACAAACACCTGATCATCCGAATTTCTTTTTGCCATCTTATTCCTGAGTAGTTTGAAATGCTGTCTCGATTCATCTGCACTTGTCCCACATTTTGTTTTTGTGTTTTGTTTTGATCATCAAAGCTCAGTTACAATTCAACTCATCTCACAGCTTCTGTCATCTCAACACTTCTGTCATCTCAAAACTTTTGTCATCTCAACACTTCTGTCATCTCAACTTCAATCTGCTATCTTAACTTCTATCATCTCAACTTCAATCTGCTATCTCAACTTCTGTCATCTCAACTTCAATCTGGCATTATAACTTTAGTTGACCATCTTCAACTTGTACCCACAGACCCAATGAAACAATCCCACAACATGCAAGGATATAGGAGTGCTCTCAAACACTTGCAGGGTTCCTGACTTGGCCTAAACATGGCTGGATGTCTTGTGGGTTTGGGCAAGTTGGAGCCCCCTGCCCTTGCAAAAAAAAAAAAACACTTGATTTGATACCTAATTGGCTACTGGTAATCAGATTGTATTTGCAGATTTGGTTTCCATGTTAATGCAGTTGTTCATTGTTGTGGGTGGAGGTATCTTAAACAACCAAATGCAATATAATACGTGCATCATAAGACATCCCTTTTTTTCTACACACATCGATTGGCATTCCATAGGGTTCTGTTTCTGGTGTGCTTTGGTTGGCTCTTCTGTACTTGACTTTGCAAAATTGATGCTTACAATGGTGGGATTCATAGTTGGGTTTTAATCAGAATTCTACACAAAGTCTTGCTTGGGCTCAAGACGGGCAAAATTTTCAGTTTTCTGAATCTTATCTTCTGATTTGTTGGCAACATGTGAAACAATAAAAATAAAAAAGCTGGACTGATTGTTCAGAACCTCATGTCCTGTCCTGTCCACCTTATCAAATTTCTAAAATCTTGTGGATATAGCCATAGGCCACAAAATTGGCTTTGAAATTCCATGGATTTCAATCATGAAGCCCCCTCATGATGTATTGTGGTACCAGCTCAATGCAAGCAGAAAAGCTACTTATAGGGAAGTTTATCAATGTGGTATCCTTGTCATGGGTTCAAGAGTTTCTCTGTGTGTGTGTGTTTTTCTTGTTGAATGTTCAACTTCCTACAGCTCTCTTCAACAAGGCATCTTTTCTCCTGCACAGCTATGGGCCCCAACAATGGGCCTATCCCCCCAATCACAAGGGTGGCAATAAGAGGAATTGCTTCACTGGACCTTCAATCATACTAGACTGATTTAGAATGAGCAGATCCAGACATGTCCTTTGTTTTACTCTTGCCCTTGTAGATACTCACTTGGTTTTGATGGTCTCTTGGTCATGCCCCATTTCAAGTGGACAGAATTTCATTTGATGGCATGATTTTGGTGTTCTTGTATTGACATTTGCTCCCAGTTTGGCTGATTTTCTGAAACAGATGGTTCAAAAAGAAAGGACGTTTTGGATCACAAATGTTCAAATAGTTTTACAATTTGCACTAGCCAGAGACTACACATGCTCAATCTGGTAACTCTTGACTTGAGTATATGTCCCAAGGGAGATTCTCCCTAGAGTGTCTCATTCCTAATCGATACTTTCTTTGCAGCATTCTCAACAGTCTACGACAAGTAAAATTCAAACAAGTTAAGGTAGTGTCCAATGAAGTGACATATTAGTGGCCATAAAACAGCCTGAAATCAGACTCTCTATCCATCAAGGTCCAGTACTTTTCCAGTTTGAACTTGAATCTATTTAGAAGCCAGGTTTGGACTATAATATTTGAAGATCTAGAGGGCACACACAAACAAATCATCGAGCTGGGTCAAAGAGTAAAAAAACATGTGTTTGATTTGGTTTTGGAAGGTTGCTGCATTGACTCGCAACTCTTCTGAAAGAAGGATATTATTCAAGATGTAGAACTAGTGCTTCTCAGCAGAAGCTTTCTTTTCGATTGGTTCAACCAGTCGGTTTTTTTGATTGATTTTCCTTTGGTAGGCTTGGAGGTAAAACGATACGAATAAGCCGGTCAATGGGATTAGATCTATAGAAAAAAAAAGAATTAGTTACACAAATGTGTTGTGAGCATATCTATTTTTCTTTCGATTTTTGGCTGAGTAGTTTCAAGTGAGGATATATATATACGTACATCCAACTCCACCCACCACGGTCACCATTTGACCGGGAGTATGAAGACAGAGGTCTTCTTGGAAGCCTGGGCCCAATCTATCTGAAGCGAATGGATGGTTGGCCAAGACGGGCTGCCACTCGAATTTCTCGCCAAGCTCTTTGGGCAGCCGGAGTAACAAAGTGAGAGCGCCCAGGCTTCCACCTACGAGGAATTGAGTGATCTGAATCTTCGTCAACAGGCGTTTTAAGACCCCTGGGACTGGAATGTGGACGACCGAGAGTGCGTAATATGTGTACATGATGGTGTGCACGAGACTGTTGAAAACAATGAAGAGCCAAGCCGCAGGCGATTCATATCTAGTGCCACTCCAAACCGTAAGAATAGCTCCCTTTTGGAATGGTCACACAAGTTTTTTCAATGGGTTAGTTGGCGCATCACCTGGGCAAGTTGATCAAAATAAAGGAATTTTCCTTACGGCATGATGGTATTCTTGCAATATGCTTGCTTGTTTTCCTTTTCCAATCAAGATCAAAGTATCCAGGATTTCCCAAAACTTGCTCAGATAGAACATGTAAGTGTACCTTGCCATCACGTCGTCCCAAAGGACCATCGAACTATCACAAAAGTTGTGGACAAGTCCAGGGACCCCAGCGGTTTGATAGCCTCTCAGAAAGTAATTGATCGTTGCAGGTCCTGTGGCCAGGAACGTCCAGCCACTGTAGACCTGGAAGATATAAGGGATAATTTACTTATTTATAAATCTAGCGATTCCTTCTGATGGATATCTTCTTTTTGAAATCCGCACGAGAAGCAGGGTTGGTTTGTGCAATAATAATTTTGTTTACTCACGGCCAAGATTATGTTATGCATCAACAAGACAGCTTTCCACCAAGGGCCCTTCATCCGATTCTTTCCATCTTGCCTTTTGTTGAGAAGAGCTATCAAAGCCAGATAAACGCAGACAATTGTGAATGGAAGCTCTGGTCTCAAAGTGAACTCGAATAGGTTTTGACTGATTGGGAGTTTGCTCGGCACCGGCGGATAAGGGTGATTGATGACATCGGATAGGATTCTAGTCAAGTATTTCGAGGGGGTCTGGTAAGAAGATAAGAGATCCTCCGTCGAACTGATGTTGTAGCGAATGTGCTCCATTATTTGAAAAAATTCCTGAATGAATCAAATCTTGAGGGAATGTGAATGTGGAGGATCAGAGTGGAAAAAAAAAGAAGAAAGAAAGAAGAAAAACACACGCACGCACGCACGCACAGTCTAAAAAGGCTTGAAGAAGTGTAGGAAAGAAATGAGAGGGGTATCTTGATTGCTTTATCGTTTCAAATTTACAAGGATATTTTTTAAGCAATTTGAGTAGCGAATTCGAAGTTAGAGAAGTGGAATCGATTTGCAATCAATGGGGGTTTAGTTATATCTGAGAGATTGTCAGACTCACTGGGGTGATCGAGATTATAAGGGAAGAGCGGTGTTGTTCGAATTAGCAGATATCAGCCAGGAGGTGAACCATTCCAGTGCCAGCCAGTTAACAAGCGCCTCACTGGAAACAAATGGCTAGATGGGCTACATAGGAGCTCAACCTATCAAATTTCTAAGCTTCCAAGCGAGAATCACTGGGGTTCACTGGTAATCGTTGAAGGCACGTTTGATTGATTCAGGTAGGAGCATAGTCGGGTGAAAAGATCTTTAGAATTGGAAAAATGTCGATTTATATAGATAATGCCAGTAGGATCACAAGGTTACAAGAGGATATAAAAAAAAAAAACAGAAATACGTCGATTCTTAGGAGTTTGGATCCGATACGTCAGAGTATGGCCAGTCCAGCGGATGCACCGAGAGTCGGGACTGGTTTCCGGGTTGGCTTCTGAGCTGGCCGTGTCTCTTTCGCATTAGACAAGGCTTGAATTTGAATTGATCGACCACCTTTCGGAGTCAAGCCGCAGACGGACCAACAGTGTGTCGGGATATGAGCCGTGGAAAGCCTTAAAATAAGACGAGAGATACATAGGGTTTCTCTGGGGCAGAGCTGTCGCCAAAGAAAGAGACCCCTGAACAGCCTGCACACCCGGCTGGGCTCATCAAAGTATTTATGTATCAGAGTCAGACCCCTTACTCCTTGCTCAGCTCACACCACCACGAGTTGGTTTTGGATCTCAATCTTCAAGAGCCGGAACTTTGTCTTCAAGAGAAAATCCGAAAAAAAAAGCACAAATTATCAAAATCGGCCGGAGGGAACAAAGTCATTGAAGCCTCTCAAGCCTCATGAAGCCCAACGGCTACATATGTAATCCCTCAAATGTACTTAAATATTTTGAGGATGATAAACTTGTCGCGTGGCCATCAAGTGTCGGGCATCTTTCGACTCGGCAGTCTGCGGAAGGCCCTGGTCCGAGTCACCCAACCTGGCCATTAAAAATAGGTTTCTTATGGCAGATTCACGATGCAGGAGTTTAAAGTAATGTCGATCGGTCTGTTTGGAAGCTGAGAGAGACCCAGCACATATCCTGCAGCTTCTGTCGGTCTTCTTGTCCGCAACCTCATGAGGTATATATATATAGCTTGGCCCAGACAGTCTCTCATTGAGTCCCCCTTTTGCGTTTTTTGATCCCCGAGATTACGGGCCGAGACCAAGTGCAGACAGGCAGGCTGGAGAAGCTATCTGAAAGCCTTCTGGCCGATCACAACCTTTGCCGCCGACGTGGACCCGATATCCGACTTCACCAGCCCCTCCCTGTCGTCGTCGGGGCGAGCTGTGATTTGCTTGCTCATGAAGACTCTGTACAAAAACCTTTCAGGCCGCTTTTTTAAATTAAAAATAAAATCAGATAAAATACAAAACCATGCTTGCAGTCAACCCATTGACGAAAGATTTGATTTAGCCCCCAACAGTCTAGATGACGTGAAAGAGTATCATAACTGCAAAAACCACCATCTTTTCATTTTTGGACAGCACAGTCTGCACTCGTTGCGGGACTGTAATGGCGGCTGATCGAATACCCGCAGATTGGCTGTTACGTCATCGGCCTTATGGTCTAGTCGTATGATTCTCCCTTTGGGCGCTACCATGATCAAGATGGTATGATCAACCTTGGGAGAGGTCTCGGGTTCAATTTTCGATGAGGCCCCTTCTTTTTCGTTCTGGTCTTTCTTCTCCTTTACCTTTCAAGCTCCTTATTTTTTTCCGGCCTCATACATCTTGGCGGTTTTTGATGCGTCGGTTCTTGGCGATTTATTCCTCATGATCGATCTCGATTGTCGATCAATCTCACTCCCTCAACTTCTTGTCTTTTTTTCTTCTTCTTCTTGGCTGTTTCGTTTCTTGGCACTGGAGTCTCCTATTGTATGTTCGTTGTATCTGGGTATGTACTACATACATATGTATCGGTTCTAAAAAAAAACAAGTCACTACATTCAATAAATATGGATTCTTCACTCATTATGGATTGGGCATTGTACTATATTTACGACAAACGTTTGTAAACAAAAAAACCCTTGATGATTTTGAAAGCCAAGTTTTATTTTAAGAAATAAACCAAATTGCGTCATAGATGACTACTGAGGGACTTGGCTGGGGGAAGGGGGGGGGGGGGATTACATCATGAGCAGAAAGTGATCCAAGAAAAAAGAGTACATGAACGAGGAGAAAGATCAGCGCTCGATTGTTCCGACGAGTTTGAATCGAAGAGCAGGATGATCAAGAAGATCGGGAGAGAAGAGCACAGTAGTGAAGTGATCGTCGGGGGTAAGTTGGAGAGGAAGCGGGAGATGATTGTGGACAGGACGGAGGATGAGGCTGGCGATGATCCAGTCGAGGACGGTGGACGGAAGGGAAGGGATCTGGAGGGCCGCCGATGGCGCGTGGGTCTTCTTCCTCTTCTTCTTCTTCTCCGGATCGCCCTCCGCACTCGTCTCTTGATCTGCTCCGTTCATCGATCGGGCCAGCGGGGGCGCCGAGCGATCGAGGAAATGCACCTTCTTCACTTCCGATCCCGCGCCCCTGTCGTCCATCTCTGATCCCCGATCTGCATCCCGATCTACTTCCATCCTATCTGCACTTCCCGAGGCCGCTTCTTTCCCTCCCTCCTCTCCTTCTTGAGGCCGATCATCCGTCTCGGTTTCTGCTCCTGTCACTCCTCGAGCTTCCTCGGCTTCTTTCTTCTCGCCGAGGCTCTCCTTCTCCCCACCATCCTCCTTCTCTCCCTCCTCTGCCTTCTCCTTCTCTTGCTCTCCCTCCTTCTCTTGTCTACCTTCCTCATCTTTCTCCTGTCCCGCCTGCTCCTTTTTCTCGCTACCGTTATGTTCCCCCTGTTCACCGTCTTTCTGGCCACTCTGCTGATCGCCTTTCACGTCCCCTTCTTGACCGTCCTTCTCCCCCATTTCTTGATCACCCAACTCTTTGACTCCAGCCCCTTCCCCCTCAGCAACCGCCGACCTCTGCACATCCATCTGATTCCCAACCTCTCGATGCGGCACATCTGGTCCAGACTCCACGATCATTGGGGTGCCACTAACCGGCGAAAACGGGTCCACGGCATTTTTGCCCAGGTCATCGGAACGAGATGGTGTAACTGGACGAGGTTCACGTTTTTCAGGAAGCCCGAATTGACGCAGTTTTTGACGACGAAGAGAGGTCACACAAGTTTCTCTGAACCGATCAGTCACCGTTCGCCTTTCTCCATCGCCGAGCTTATTATCTCCGCGTCCATTTTCCCGATTCTCTTGGGGCATTGCGGAGGATGGATCGAGTTTGGATTGATCATCAGGAAGCTCGCTCTCGGAAGGGATCGACTTTTTCTTAAGAGACGTAGAAGCGAGGTCCAATGATTCGAGCCGATCGAGGCAGGCGAGGATGATGTCTCGTTCGAGTTCGGCATCTTCCACCGAGCTGGAGCCCCCGAGTCGGTCACCCCAATGGGTGAAAAGCTCCTGAAGGACCAGGCCGGGCGGGCCAAGCGACGGGCGTCTTCCACCAGAATGATTGATGCCGACGACCGGCCAGGTCAAGATGTCAACGGCCACTCCTACGGCCCGGTCGACGCGTCGGTACTTTGCGGCATCCCAAGCCTTGTGTACTTTGACGGCTATCCGGCCGGGTCTGTCCTGAGCCGTACACGCCTCCTCCGAGTCATGTTCGTCGTCCATCTTGCTTGCGCTAATGGCCGCTCTGATCGTCATCTGGACAAACTCGCCAACCGAGACCGCTTTCAGGATGTGGGGCAGGAGGCTCCAAAGGGCGATAGTCGGATCTGGGGAGTCAGGCTCAGCACGAACGGCGCTCCGGACGGCGGCGTCCAATGCGTCCGGCCATCCGGTCGCCGAGCCAAAGTCGTACGCCAGGAAGCCGGCTGGCTCTATCATTTCTGACGCTGGTAGGACCGTCAATCGTCGCTCGATCGCACCCAGGTCTAGTTGTACCCGTCGGTTGAGATCTGAGCCCGGTCCCAGGTGATCTGGCGGCGCACGCGAAAAACTAGCATCGAAGGCCCGTATTACCGCTAGTGATCGCGCTGATACGAGATGCAACGCCGTCGGAGTGATTGCATCAGATAGAAGAATGCTTTGTAGTATCTCCAATAGAGCTGTCGGATATGAGCTCGCTGAGATCCGCCTAAATTGAAGAGAGAGAGAGAGAGAGTGAGAGAGTGAGGGAAAAGACTCAGTTTAAATGAAGAAGAAGAAAAAACGAAATTTGAGATGTTCTCAACATACCCGACCCTAGTGAGCTCATTGAGTAACCAGCCGACGACACCAACAGCACAACCACCGACAAGAAGTTTGTGTTCGAAGTAACTAAGGCCGTCTCTGAAAGTCTGGAGGTCGATGAGGCCAATGGTGAGGGCATCAAAGGACTGTTTGAAGAGGCTGGCGCTGATCGAGAAGAAGATCCTAGGGTCAGTGTGACCGAGCAAGTCATCGGGGATCCCAGAGGAACCGTATAAGGCCTCGATCCATGAGCTCAACGTGCTCTGGTGGCTCGCTGGTAAGCTGCTTATCGGGTATGATGTCGATGGGTTCGAGAGGTGATGGATCGTAAATCCGGTGGTCGCTCCAAGATGGTAACTTAGATTGGACATCAACTGTTACAAACTTTCGATACGATTAATCAACCGAAAATCAAATAAGATAAATAAATGGCATAAAGAAGAAGAAGAAAATAAAAATCTTCGAGCTTGACTGACACTAAATCTACCAACAACACCTTGTAGCCAACCCAACAAACGACCAAACTTTTCGAATTCACTCCCACTACTAGACTCATCATTATCAGAGTTATTGACGAGTTGATTCACGTTATTACGGATGTCGTTCCAATGGTCCAAGAGGTCCCTGACTGGCCCCAAGAGCTTCCTGGGCTCGATCCACAGAAACAACGTGGATAAGCTGTCTAATGAGCTTAAAGCTTCTGTTAATGTGATACAGGTCGATAGATCAAAGCTTTTTGTCGCGGTCACTATCGACTACATACACCACCAAAACAGAACAAAACAAAGGGGGAAGGAGGGAGGGAGGGTGAGTATGGAAATGTTAGGTTTTTTAAGAGGGACGAGATGGCTGACTTGGTGAAGCTTGACAGCCAGTTCGGAGATCGGGGTCTCTTTGCTGCTCTTTCCCAGAGAGTCCAGCAAGGGGTGGATGCCTAGATCGAGATCTGAATGGTGGCCGAGGACGAGATTGGGGTGTGGAGAGGGAGACTGGTCGAGTCTTAGAAGATCTTGAGCGAGGACGAGTTGGTTAGAACAGAGACTTGAGAGGATTGCAAACCAGAGATGGTGTCTGTTCGTGTACGATCGATGATTCTCGATCTCCATCCGGTTCTCTTCGTTTGGCTCTGATTGATCTAGGATGGCCCCTTTCTTGAGAATCTTTTGGCTCATCAGTACAAGCTCATCCGTCCCTAGTAATCGTATTCCTTCGCGATCTTTAGCAAGGATTTCAGTGTCTAATGCAGTCCGAATCAGTTCTGCTAATCGACCACCAGCCAAGAGAGCCTTCCAAGCCATCTTATCATTTTCGAGACATTCATCTTCGTCATCATCTTCGTCTTGTTCCTTCGATTTGATTTCTTCTGTTTTGGGGCGAGTGTTGGGTAGTGGGCTTGGAGGGTGACTGTTACCGAGACTGATGGCAGCCAGAAAGAGTTGAAGGATGAAGTTTGAAGGGCTTGAGAGGGCATAGGAGATGATTCTGGAGAGGATCGGTTGAGGTTCAAGATCATCTGAGTGGAGAGCGGATACGCCAGGGGTGAGAAGGATGTAAGCTATGATTGAGCTGGCCGTAGTAGAAGGAGTAGTAGTTGCTGTTGGAGCTTGTTCGGTAGTGGATGAGTTTAGGGCGAGTTGCTTGGCAGTAGATGGAGAGAGATGACGGAGGATCGATGGGAGTTGGTATTGGTAGATGGTGGATTGGCTGGGATGATGATGATGATGATCTTGAATGGTGGTAGTGATGGACTGGAGGATATCTTGTTGGATGGATCGAGTGTTGGCTGGATGGGCCAGGATTGAGTTGGTGAGTGCGGAGAGCAAGTGTTCGGCCAGGCTGAGGGTGGGTTGGTTGTGGTGCTGGTTGGGTGTGATTAGTCTGATGAGTTGTAGGAGTGATTGGAGTTGGGAGATGGCCTGATGATGGTTGAGTGTGAAGTTGTGGTAGTTGATGAGTGGGAGTGAGATCGGATTGAGGATCCTGAGGATTCGTTGGGGGTCATGTTCTTCTTGGCTGATGATCCTTGGGATTAAGTCGATGAGATGGCTGGCTGTTTCTGAGTGGTCCTCCTGGGTCTTGATGGCTATCCTGTAGTAAGTCAGTAGTCTGACTGAGATCGGCTTGGTTGATAGGATGAGGTCGATGAGCGCATCTATTTAAGTGATTGAGGATGATGAAAGTGTGTCAGTTTAGTTTAGTTTGTGTGTTTTTTTTTGGTGAGTGGGCTTAACTGGTATTGATGTTTGGTTTGATGTTCTCGATCCATTCGGTTGGTTGTATTCCTCGTGAGCAGCTGAGTCTTGTCTGCCTGAGAAATCGATCGACTGCCATCTTCTGTATGTTGGTTTGCTTTCCTTCTCTGTTTTTTTTTGAGAGAGAGCACAGCTGAATCGACACCCCCCTCGAACTTATCACAAGTCTCCAGCTGCGGCGGGCGCATCTGGCAGCGTAGCGCTGGCCAGGCGGTTCCCGAAGGGAACTCCCCGCAGGGGAGACTTGGGCCAGAGGTCGACAAACTCAGGTGCTGAGTTTCTCCTGTTTTGGTGGGAGCGTCACAAGATTTGCAATCATGACGCTCCCTCAAAAGTTTATGGATGTTTGGCCCGGAATTCTTGAAGGGCTAGGGGATCCTATTGATCCAGCCCAAACTCAGAAGTTGTACACCACAACTGGAATTAAGATTGATTTTCTAAAATTCAGATTTGAACTTTTTTTGAGCTCAAATGCGGGGTTTGCTCAACTTGGGCCCACCAAAATAAGTCAACCTGAGTTGAAAAGTCAATGTTTTCAAAACCTTTCTGTAAATGATTAACAAAAAAAACAAAAAAACTGAACACAGGGAAATGTGGACAAGAAGCAGACCCTTCTTGGTCCACAAGGAAATTATATAAATGTGGATGAAGAAGAGTGTAGTCAGAAAAATACACAAAAAAACGGGTTTCAAGCCCAATTTTGAAAACTCACCACGCGGGGATCACCGCATCTGTTCTAGGCCTCCACTGGCGTGGACAGCTCCGCTGCTCGCTCCCGCTCCCGCCGTGGAGGCCTAGTTGGGCTCGCACCCCCCTGGCCAGGAACTCAAGGCCACGCGACTTAAGAAACCCCTCCGCCGGCCCTCTTAGCGCGCACCCCCACGCCCACGCCTTCCGGGTGCGCAAAAACACACCAACTACATAACTGTTTTCACCCAGCAGTACACTACAATCACCCCAGGCCAAGCTGGTGCGTTCTCTCTGCCAACCTGGTTTCCTCACTGAATGATCATTTATGCTTTCCTGATCTATGTGCTTGGAGTATTATGTCCTTGCTCATCTCACAGGCATCAGCCTCTCAATTAGTCCTTGTCTCACCTGTGTTACCCTCAACAAAAATACTTAGAATATGTAGAACCAATTAGGCCAAAATTGCATCAAAGTTGGCTGATAGTGGATCTACAGAGCCTGGAGCTAACTCAGACCAGCAATTGGGATTTGTAAACCTGCAGCAATAGAGCTGTTCAGACAATCAGTCTAAAATACTCATCCACTGGGAAAAAGGCTCCCGGCCAGTCCGTAAACAGGAAACCTTTGGTAGGCCACAGAGAGTTGGTTGAACCCTTGCAAGTTCAAGTTAACTCAACTTTGAAAGCTTCCGTATCCAAGATATAATCAAAACTTGCAAGTGGTGGGTGTGAAAAAATCAGATCTTTTGACCAGATTTGTGAGCCTTGGACAGTCCAAGAGATTGCTGGTTCTACCACCCAGCACTGCCTTGCTTGAGTTGATGAACAGCTTGAGGGTAAAACTGATCAAACATAATCTATGTATGCATGGGATTGTACACATGCATTTAGGCAACTGTGAGCCAATACAGCTTGAGCTGACAGTATATTTGACATTAAATCTTAAATTGAGTATGTTGGAATTTCACTTGCCATCCCTCTCCCTCTCCTTTGTTTGACTTTCAATTCATTATGAGTTGTTCTTAGGCCCCGTTTGGACGCGCCGTGTGATAGGATAAATGGTGTCATAAAAGTCATGACACCCCATGTGAAAATCAAGTGTCATAAGCAGAAATAATAATTGAATTTTTTATAGCACCAGTGTTTGGCACACCAGCATAAATACAACTGATTAACATTATCACAATCACGTTTGGCCAGCACTGTCATAAAATTCCATCCAAAACCCTTCAGAATGCCTCCAAATACAACTTCACTCCAAAAACGCCAACACCAACACCTTGTCCGACAAAAGAAGATGATACTCTTCATGGTTATTCTCATCGGCCTTCGACAGTGGTCTAAAACCATCAAATCACCTTACAATGATGCTCCTTTCACAGGTGATGCCTACGTCCAGCACATCTTGAACGGAAACCGACTACGTGCTCAATCCATGTTCCAATTATCAGTCAATGTTTTCAAGATTTGTTCAGATGAGCTCTTTTTGCTTGATGAAGAGCCAGTGTCCAAGCTTGTCAGTATGGATGAACAACTGGCTATATTCCTTTATATCGTTGGACAAAATGCGACAAACCGTTGTGGTGTTCTAAACGGTACAGGCCTCCTCAAGGTCGAATTTCAAATTTCAACTTTCAACTCTTCAATATCCTCAAGACTCAAGATTTCAATATTATCACCTCAAATCCCCACTCAGTCCAATGGTTTCCTCATTTTATTATTTTATTCCATTTCCTCTTATTATTTACTCTTCATATTATTTTTTATTCATCTTTATTTTATTTTTATTTTATCATTTTATCATTCTTTATTATCCTTTTCAAATCACTTACTCAGAAGACAGTCTTTGTTTAATTTTCCTTGGGTCCTAAAACATCCTCAGGGATGTTGGTTTTATTTCACTCCTTGAATAAATTTGTTTTGGTTTTGGT